GTGAAGAGCTTCAAAAATATGAAAGTTATGTGTATCATACTATTACTATTACGATTTTGATCAAGCAGATTAAGGCAACTGCTATCTTCCCCAAGGTATAAACAGGAGTTTATACATTATGCATTTGTACACAAAGATAATTTATAAAGCCATTATGCACAATGAATGGTACAGTTTTACTCATATATACGAAGTCCAATAAATTGAAAGCAAACATAAAAATACCTTCCATTTGGAGTTTATAAAAACAAAAGTTTAAGAAACAAAAAGTAAAGGAAGACTATGTTGATACATGGATACAATTGGTAAATAGATTTGAAGAAATCAATTGATTTGAGAAATCTGGATTTTAGCAATAATTAGGAAAGTAAGAATGCATATCATCTCACATAGAGAATTCAATATAAGCATCAGCCTAACTATGGATATTAAGGATCACTTACAAATAGCCCATTCTCCTCAAGACTTGTAATGGTGCCTTATTGTGCTGGTGGGAGGGGGGGGAGGTCCTGGGAAGAATGAGTGAAAAAAGTTGGAAAAGCACTTCAAATCCAGGCAACTCTAGCGAAGATTGTCCTGGTGATGCCAAACCAAGCAGGCACCTATATTAGGTAACAATGATATTGGACAATGCCGGAGGCAGAGGGTCACTTTAGTGACCACAGCAAAGATATTGTTTCATACTGCATGGGACAATTCTATGGTAAGCTATTCCTGTATTTCCTCATTCATAATTATATATGGCAAAGTCCAGGTTACAAGTGGGAATTCATAAAGGAATATATAAGAGATTACAGAAGTTTATACAATGAATGACTGGTGTTTGAAGTGTCATAAAATTATCGAACAATCATACTGTAAAGTATCAAATTTGACAGATTTGCAGCAGCTATAGAGCAATGTGGTAAAATATGTTATTGACATAACAGCCAGTACCTTGATTTCAAATCTGCTATCTGCATGTAATTTAAGTGATGCAATGCATCTGAATGGTTCTGACATATCACTGTTGCATCAAGTTTAGACAGAACATCCTAATATATGTATTGGCACAGTCCAAAATCTCTAAATTAGTTTTGTCTTAAAAAATCTCTGCAGTACGTTAAGACCTTGTTAAAACAAGAGTTTACCAATAAACTGCCTCCAAACATGTATTGCTACAGCAAGTGTTAATTTCTAGTTCAGTAGAATTTGGAAAGGAAGCCTTAAGGGAAAACGGAGCCCAACAAGGCTTAGCTTTGTGGTTCAGCTTTGCTTGTAGTAGCCAACAATCCAACACAGGCAAATTAAACTGAACTTGTGCAATGTCTCCCTTCTTATTGGTTGCTAAGAGTTGACGAGGCTTCTCCTATTGTTTTTATCTAGATACCACAAGCAATTATTTCAATATAATTCTTCTCCATCCTGCTATCACTTAGGGCAGTGGTGGCGAACCTATGGCACGGGTGCCAGAGGCGGCACTCAGAGTGCTCTCTGTGGGCATGCACGCTGTCGCCCCAGTCCTAGGCCTTCATCTGGGTTTTATAAAACTTTTTGCTTTAGGCCTCCACCACCAGGTACAAAAAAAAAAAAAAGGTTCAATCAATCAGTCAATTTCAACTTCTCACGGGGAAAAAAAAAGATCTTGCAAATTTGGAATTGATTGATTGAACTTTTTAGTCCCACCCAGTTTGCTGTTACCACCGTAGCCACGCCCACCCAATGGGCCACACCCACCCAATGGGTCACACTCATCTGGCACCTGAAAATGCATAAATGGGTTTTGGGTTGCAGTTTGGGCACTCGGTCTCTAAAAGGTTCGCCACTACAGATTTTCTATACATCCTATAGCCCTCCAACATGTGAATGCAGTAGGCAAGTAATATACTAGAATATAGTTGTATGGCTTAAAAATTTCCTTTCAAAGTAGCACTTAGGTCACTTACCACAATGCCTTTTATCAACCAGTTTAGCCCTTTAGGCTTTTTTGCTCCTTAGTGTTGGTTACATTTTTTTTTTTTTTTTGTATAATCATAGTATCTCAATAATCTGAACTTGGATAGAACACTACCAGAAAATGTCAGGACTGTAGGATAAATGGGGAAACAGAAAAATTGTCCCAGAAGGCAGCCATGGCAAATTGCTTGCACATTACTGCCAAGAAAATTACATGGGTGTGTCCTTATAACTAAGAATTGTGCCTGACTCAAGGGAACCTTTATCGCACAGTTTTTTTCATTGCTTTCATGCTATGGTATTTTAATGTTCTTATTTACATTTTCTAAATTTTTATTTACTGTAGTCTTAACTTCTTGGAAACTGTTCTGGGAATCTATTGAAGTATGGAATATAAATTAAACAAGCAAATAAATAAGCAAAATTGATTTGAGATGGCAAACGGACCTGCAAAAGCTTATACTGATTCCATTATTTAACCCAGGGGTAGTCAACCTTGGCTCTTTTATGACTCGTGGACTGGCTCAGGAATTCTGGGAGTTGAAGTCCACGAGTCATAAAAGAGCCAAGGTTGACTACCCCTGATTTAACCAGTAAACTGCTTCACTGAGTTCAAGAGGTGGAATTTGTGTTTTTATAAGCAGTGTTGTCCATACACAAAATGATTTCTCTTGTCTGTTTTCAAGCATAAATAATCATATTGTAAGAAAACTGTTTTATTACTTCAACAAACTTGGGATGCTGAAGTGAGGCAAAACTTTATTTTTAACTAATGTGTGGGATCACTTTTCTTTTTAAAGAATACCCTGGAGCAATGTCAAGTCGTTATCTTTTTGGCAGCTGCTTAAAATTCTAAACCAACAGCTACACCATGAAATCCAGACTTTTGCTGATATATAAGCTTTTTCCCAGGCTTCTTGGCCAACATGAACCAATGACTGCAGTAGAAGAACTATGGATTATTCTATCATCTGTCATTTTATCAGTGTTTTTTCAACTAAAGCAATTTAACTGTAACAACCAAATCCAAGGGTGTAAATTGCAGATTGCAAGAAAATTTATGGCAAAGACTAAGTAGGTATTTAAATAAGCTGCAAATATCTAATCTCTCCGGTAATGTTAAAATAAAAGATAAAGGAATAAGAAAGAATGATGTCTTTCATAAAGAACTCAAGGCAATGACCTCATGACATGAAGAGGTAAACAGAGACAAACTTTTATGAGGAGGAGCTGCAGTCAGCCTCAGGCTCACATATTCCGATGACAATGGTGCAGTAAAGAAGCTTTAGAAACTTAGCTCCATTTTAACTTAATCATAAATTTCAATAACATTTTCATTCCGATATTCCAGGTTCATATCACAAATTAATTTACAATCAGAAAAAGATGTTCCCCAATATTCTGGTATGAATATTAAGTTAGTTACTGTTTTGTTACGATATATTACCCTCTGCCTTTTTGAGAGGTGGGGTGTGCGTGGTTGGTTTGTTCTTGTTATCCTGAACTATACTTATTGTTACCGTATTTTCCAGCATATAAGATGACTTTCTAAACCATGCAAATCTTCTCCGAAGTCAGGGGTCGTCTTATACGCCGAGTCGTCTTATACGCCGGAAAATACGGTATTTTCAGGGGATGTCCCTCTGTTGCGGACAAATGTTATCCTTACTGATTGGAAAACTCTTAAGTTTACATTGAAACTACAAAATAATCCTGTCAAGCCTTTAAATCCATTTTTTCCCTTTTCTTCATATCATGGATAATTCATTGATAAATAGCTAGAGCAAATGGACATCCATGGTGAGGGTGTCAAACAAGTCAGGAAGACAGGCTTTTTGAACTTTATTATTTATTATTTAAGGGTTATTATTTAAGCTCCAAAGACCAGTGGTTTGCTCTGTGATTAACATGACCCCGAAGTGGTGGCAACATGCCAAACCTATCCTTACAAATTACTAACAAGAAACTTTAATAGAGGTTATGTTTATAAATCTTAATGGTTTGGTAGAACCAATTACTTTACAATGATAATTATTTTTTATAATTTCACTATATTACAATTTTAAGTAGCAACAGGTATTCAACCTTGACTACTCTCAAAAAGCCAAGCAGGATTGGATTTATGTTAGTACTTCAATGCAAGATCAGCAGAAATCCAAGGTCAACTGAGAAGTTTTTTTAAAAAAAATATTTCAGTATTGCTAGCAAAAAAAGATACAGGGATATATCTATGCAATCGGCAGGAGACAGCTTTAACTCAAAACATTCTTTACTTTTACCCTTAAATGTCTAAATTAAAAATAGTATTTTGACAGTACATCAAGAACAATATTCCTACTTATGATAAGGAATACTTGCTAAGACACTAGGCCCTTTCTGTGCTGAACCAATGACCTTAAAACTAAAACCTGAAAGAAAAGCTATTTGAACTGAAGAAAGAAGTTCACTTTTGACAACAAGGAGCAAAGAACCAATGTCACATTAATTAAAAGTATATTATACTCTCATCATTAGACTTCCTCATTAAGTAGTTTCTTAATGGCTGTAAAGCTTTGACTACAGCTTTTTTAGCTACAGGAGCACTCTTGGTCATTAATTTAGATATATGTTGCTTTGAAACTAAAACAGCAGACTAACTGGTTTTCTTTCTTTCCTTCTGCTTACATCAGTGGCCCCCAACTTTTTGGGCATCAGGGACTGGTTCCATGGAGAGAGGTTTTTCTGTAGAATGGAGGGGGGGCATGGTTTCCCGTGCTGCCTGCATCCTGCGGATGGGCCTTTGCTTGTTTGTGTGGCCCAGTTTCTGGAATGCTGCAGACTGCTGCCGGTCCATGGACTGGGGGATGGGGATCCCTGCTTTACATTATTTTGTGAGAATAGTCACAAATGGTTCAAAGATATTATTATGGAAAATATTCAATTAACCTATTGCAATTTAAAACATGCATCAGCCCCAAAGCAAAATTTCCATTCCAGCATGGCTTTTAGATCTAAGGACTTCCTTTGTTGATGTTAACAGAGAAACTGATCCAATCCAACAATATCACTAAAAGAGCATTCCTTACCTTGTTATAGTACTGCACTTGGACAGAATGCCATTGCCCATCACTAACCCCTCCTGGAACAAATGGTGCAACTGTTGTGGTGGTTTCTCCTGAAAAATAGCATGGAAGAGAGAGAGAGAGAGAGAGAGAGAGAGAGAGAGAGAGAGAGAGAGAGAGAGAAAGGAGTTCATCTTAAAAGTTCCATTTTTAAAACATTTGGTTTTTGCAAAAACAAAATATTAAATGGATTAATACCAAATATTTCAAAGGTAAGTCCATTGTACATACTGCATGTATGCATATACTGTACATTGTTCCCTCAATATATGTATGAATTAAGACAGCGTATAATAAAGCCCTTCAACAGAACCATGTTATTCAAGATAGTTTGCATGAAGTTAAATACTTGGATTAGAAAGGGAATGTAGAAAAATAATAACAAAAAGAACAATTACATAGATAAAAACAGCTTGAAAACCATGCTGAGTCTGGAGGATTAAAGACCTGTTGGAACAAAAAGAGGCATTTGGCAGACAAAGCTCAAGTTTTGGTGTGACCTTTTCCTGAATGCTAGCCATCTCCATCTCCATCACTTTCAGAATAATAAAGAATAAAGGGATTTGTCTCCAGAAACAAAGATATAGAGACAATACAGAGAGCATTGTACATGGCAGGATATTATTTAGTTCACGGGTTTTCAAATTTTTTTGAGTTATGAAAGCTGTTAAATGGGGGTTGGGGAAAATCTCAGGATTCTTGATCAGGAGCAAAGTTCTAGTGATAGAAAATGGACTTTGTTTGAGTGAAATTTTTCTCCCTCCTATTCTAATGACTCCATGGAACATTTGAAAAACCCTGCTTTGGATAACCAGGAACCAAGCCATATAAAGCTAAATAGGCAAAATTCTGCCAATTCATCTGTACTAGAATAGAAATTTAGCAACTTCCCAGAAATGAATGTGCACTAACATCTTTGCAGATATACATCCCATATCACACAGTCCCATGTCACAATAATATTGCGACTAAATGGATGAAATCAGGTACATTAGCCTAAACTGGGCAAAAATAATTGTAGGCTATATCTCTTAAAAGAGCTTCCACAGTCAAATATAAATTTAGAATTTACTTCCCGCCTGGAAACCACTTTTTCAAGGAGACTGTTACATATTGACTACAATTGAAGGAATGTAAATACAGGACATTAGTGGGCATATAAAATCACACTTAGAAAAGCATTTGTTGCCACTTGAATTCCACTTACAATTAATGACAACAATAACATTAGCTATAGACTGGCATAAACAAGGTTAACAGCAACAACAAACAAATCATGGCAACTATAAGTACCTATCCATACAAATGCATGTTGTACATTTCTAAGGTGTCTTTGTGCTGTAGCAATTGTTCTTCCTCAAACATTAGCAAAGGAATGAAAACAAATCATATGCAAAATGTAAATATTTAGGATAAATAGAGAAAGTGAAAACAGCTGTAAACGGACAAAAGGTATATGAATTTCTGTGGGGTTTCTTCAGGCTGGAATCTAACAAGAATGTCAGATAAAGTGTTGGGGGAACAATGAAAACATTTTTTCTTCACAGAAAATAGCAGAAGTCCTACCCCTGCACTGAATGTCATGGCTTCCTTTACTTTTACATTGAAATGTCTTTTAAAGATTGGATCTGATAAAGAACAAGGTGCCAGATTAGTTATGCAGACTAGTACAACCAGCCCAGTGACTATTTGCTGCTTCTCTGAGGTAATAGCAAAACAAATATCTACAGGAAAAGTACACAAGGACCTGTCAAAATGAGCAGATTGGGTTTATCATGAGTGACTAGCTGGACAAAAGTTTCCACTAAAGAAGAATAAGAAAAGAAAAAAATGGTTAAGATCAACGATGTGTATAATAAACCTCTCTGTATTTCCACAGGATTCAAATGCAAACATTTACTTCAGTTTGACACACACACCTGCATGGTTCATACAGAAAGGTGTTCAACGGAGAAAGGAACACAAACATTCCCTTTCCTTAAAGATGGTGAGTATACTTCTGTGTTGTCTTTGTGAGCATTTCAAGAGGAACACCCACTATTCTTTTTCCCTCAGAAGCATTTTGCATCTGAATAGAAGTGAAAGTACCTTCAAAAGAGGAAACCCTAATATTCCTTAATATAGTTTTTTCCTTAATGCTACCTCACAAAAACATGTTTCTTTCCCCCAAATCTGTTATAATGCCTGAATGCCTGTTTGCAGCTGTAATTATTCAAATACAACATGAGCCCATAGAAGCTTTCATTATTGAGAGCTTTAGCAATTGTTAGATTTGTGCAGTCTAAAATATGTTCTATTTTCATATAAATAATCTCTTGATTACCACTGAGTTAGATTTTTTTCTTATTTTATTTCCAAACTTATAATACAAACTTCAACAGAAGAAAAGGGAAAAAACAAAGCAAAAACTAAACAAGACAAAAAATGGAGTTGGATTTTTAATCTATATTTGCATGTAAATTAAAAGTAAATATGTACAGTATGCTCCACATTTTCTCAATGAGCAATTAAGGGGAAAAAACACTCCTAAGTCACCTTAAGTAATAGATTGCAGTAATTGCTGATATATGAATATGAACAATAGTATCTATGTTTAAAAGAGCAATTAAATGGAGCTGAAGCAAACATTGCAATGTGCATGGGAATATCCTCTGCCTCCATGATGGCTGAAAAAGTTACTAGTAGAGTCAAATAAAGACACACTCAATTTCAGCTCAGTTGTTGGCAACTTCATGGACAGATCCATGTTGTTTTCTTGATAACAGCAGAACAGTATTTTGCCAGTGCTTCATACCATACCAATATCTCCAAAAATTTCTCTGATCTGACTTGGCTTTGCTTCTTGAAATAAGCCATGGTCAGTTACATGCTTCCACTTTGATGTTATATAACAGTGGTGGTGAACCTATGGCACAAGTGCCAGAGGCGGCACTCAGAGCCCTCTCTGTGGGCACGCGCGCCGTCGCCCCAGTCTTAGGCCTTCAGTTGGGTTTTATAAAAACTTTTTGCTTTAGGCCCCTGCCGCTGTGTGCAAAAAAAAGAAAAAAGAAAAAAGGTTCAATCAGTCAATTTCAACTTCTTGCAGAAAAAAAGGATCTTGCAAAGTTGGAATTGATTGATTGAACTTTTTAGTCCCACCCAGTCTGCCGTTACCACCACAACCATGCCTACCCAATTGGCCACACCCAGCCAATGGGCCACACCCACCCGGCACTTGATGATGCATAAGTGGGTTTTGGGTTGCAGTTTGGGCACTCGGTCTCTAAAAGGTTCGCCATCACTGTTATATAAACTCTGGAGTATAGTTATTATTACTAAATTTATCTTCTGATCAGAACATTTATTTCATTCCAGATGTAGGTATGTTTCTTTCTAACATATTATTTCATAAATGGGATTTTCCATAAAACAAACATATATTCAATGGACTTATATATTCAGTGGACTCTAAATGCTCATATATAATTTAACTTGTTAAAGATCCAACACAATTTAGAAAAATGAGTGTAGGAATATTCAATTGCTCTATTGTTTTTTGCCATAAATTTTTGCAAATAGCATCTGGCTACTAAGGTTTTAAACAAGACGTTCTTGCAGGATTAGTGCTCTACTTTAGTATTTCTCCTTCTCTAGATAAGAAGGCTTTTGTAGGTTGCAGACATAACAAACAGTTGATACTATCTAGACAGAAATCTTCTCCAGCTACTATATATTTTATCTTGATTTGCAATTAAACTTAGTAAATGGAAAAGTATTGCTTTGGGCAAAAAGCTTTAAATCTAAATTTAAATGTTGCATTTAAGGACTTGAACTTTGAACTTTTCAATGTGCTATGATCCAGAAAATAATGCTACAAAAAGAACCTTTTAAAATATATTCAGAATATAGTCATATTTACTATTGGGCTTTATCATAAATTCACAGCTTCACAGCTTCTGGAGGCAGATTGTTCCACTGATTAATTGTTCTAACTGTCAGGAAATTTCTCCTTAGTTCTAGGTTGCTTCTCTCTTTGGCTAGTTTCCATCCATTGCTTCTTGTCTTGCCTTCATGTGCTTTGGAGAATAGCTTGATTCCATCTTCTTTGTGGCAACCCCTGAGATATTGGAACACTGCTATCATCCCCCCCTCCTTCTCTTCATTAAACTAGACATATCCAATTCCAGCAACCATTCCTTATATGTTTTAGCCTCCAGTCCCCTAATCATTTTTGTTGCTCTTCTCTGTACTCTTTCTAGAGTCTCAGCATCTTTTTTACATCGGGTGACCAAAACTGGATGCAGTATTCCAAGTGTGGCCTTACCAAGGCATTGTAAAGTGGTATTAACACTTCACGTGATCTTGATTCTATCTCTCTATTAATGCAGCCTAGCACTGTGTTGGCTTTTTTGGCAGCTGCAGCACACTGCTGGCTCATATTTAAGTGCTTGTCCACTAGGACTCCAAGATCCTTCTCATAGTAACTACTATTGAGCAAGGTACCACTCCTATATTATACCTGTGCATTTGGTTTTTCTTGCCTAAAGGTCCCTTCCAACTTTATTATTGTTGTTGTTGTTATAAAAGTTTATATAAAATGGCAGAATTCTTTTTACTGACATACTTTCAGCTTCCTACAGTAAAAATAAACTGAAAACTACTTTCCTAAATCAGGTATTTTCTTTTCTTTCTTTCTTTCTTTCTTTCTTTCTTTCTTTCTTTCTTTCTTTCTTTCTTTCTTTCTTTCTATCTATCTATCTATCTATCTATCTATCATCCCCCCCCTCTCTTTCTCTCTCCCCTTCTCCCTTTCTTCTCTTCCAAGCTAAACCTACCTGTAATGGGGAGACTCTAACAAAGGGAGAACAATTGATTTAAGATTTTATTTACAAAACAAGAATTTTTAAATAATTTTGTCAAGCAAAAATTTCAGTATTAACAGGCTTTAAATTATCTTTTGGGATAATATATTTATCATGCAGCTGAATGCATTTTTACTTGGAAGTGAATCTAAGGTTTATTCCTAGGTCAGTGTCCACAGAATTGCAATCTGAGCCCTTAAACAGAACAGAGTTTGTCCTGAATCCACATGCACAAAATTAGGCTGCTATCTATGATTTCACATAGACTAAAATAGATTACATTTTGTCACACATTCTATTTTCAAGGTAGAGTGAATAATTTAAGGTTCACACTCCTGGTTCATGTATGTGCATGCATGTCAAAATGCAAGCCCTGTCTGTTTTCCAAGCACATGAGTTTTCAATTGACTCCTAAAGAAAACTGGGAGTTTCCATACTTTACAAAATTGAGCACTTGTAACTCAATAGTGTAAAAGCAGAGAGTAACAATACTATAACAATGAATAGCAAATCTGTAACTTTAATACATCTTGGACAACAGGAATATTGAGACTGGGTACATTTCAGATTCAGTGTTGAAATATATGAGGCACTCACATAGCACTTGGCATAAGCATCTTTTCCTGTGATATTATAATTGCCCATAAGCATAAGCATAAGCATCTTTTCCTGTGATATTATAATTGCCCATCACAACCCCAAGTATTTATATCTTTAGTTTAAGAAGTTGCAGATAGGTGCCTGGTGAGTTTTCATACACATTCCAAAACATTTTTTAACCTTGGAATCCCAAATATGGCACTGTTCTAGCACACATATGCATGAATTAAATAGCCATAATTTAGTATTATAGGATCAGTTAAACTTTAATTTTTTAAAAAAATAACAAAGAATCATCAGTGATTACACTTAATATTAGGGTCCATTAAGACGTGATTGCTAACAACATGGATCTTGAAAACAAAAGCATTTGAAATGAAATTTTATTTTCTCCAAGGATATGTATAGGGCGGTGGCCTTAGGATAGAAATTGCATGCTGAATATCATGATATAATGTCATGAATATGCTTTCAAAATATAGAGAAAAGTTTTATTCAGTAAAGAGCTCCAGTCATTGCAGGCATCTTACCTGCAGAAAATGTTAGCTGGATCTGTTCTTCAATGATCTCAAGAGCAATAAAATCATGTTTCTCATTAAAACGTCCATTATAGAGAAGCAAAGCATTCGTTTCCCTTGTTGCAAACCTATGTAAGAAAAGAACAACAAAATGTCACACAGAGACCTTGTCCAGTCAAACAAATTAAATTTTGCTAGACATGTTACCAATGTGGATATTTGTGTTTGTATGTTTTTGATTCAGTGTTGATACCTGGTGACTGCCTGGACTAATCTCTGCTCCCTTCTTGGCAACATCTTCAGTGGTGGTTTGCCCTAACCTCCTTCTGAGGGCCGAGAGAATGACCGGTGCAAAGTCACCAGCTGACTTTGTGCCTAAGGCAGAGCTAGAACTCACAGTTTCTAGCCTGGTGCCTTAACCACTACACCAAACTGTCACTGTATCTCTAATATGGGGATAGGAGAGAAAGAGACAGAGAGAGACGCAGAGAGAGCGAGAGAGAGAGAGAGAGGGGGAGATATAAAGCAGATCATTTCCTCTTCTTTTTTTTTAATATACTTCTACCAAAAGGTATGATGTTATTGTAGATAATGTGTTTGAAGAACAGAAGAGGAGGACCTTTCCTCCTCATATTACCTCACTTGGGGATCTTCTTACCAGTGGCATCAACATTTCAGTTTCCAAGAATCTAGCAAAAAGAATGTCAATTTGCACTTGTGTCAGAAGCACCGAGGGATTTCTAGATTGAAATGATTAACCAGTGAATTCACATCTGCCCAGGGGACGCCCAACTTGTATTTATATGAATTAAAATAAGACTATAGAAAGTAGCCTTACACCAGGTCTAGGTATCTAGACCTGTATATTCTTGCTTTGACAGCAGGCATGTTTTCATGAAGGTATCAAGATTTAAACAAAGACTTTCTACAGTGAAAGCATGTTCTGTATCCTTGAACTAGGGTTCACCATTTTGTAAACTAAACGCTTCTCTGGTCCATGATGATGCGTCCACCTTTAAAAAAAATGTTTCCATGAGTGGACACCCATCTTGAATCTTTAATTATTCGTCGCACTACAATGTCATAGAGAATTATCTGAGCAATGGAATCTTGGGATCCCACTTTTGAGAAATAGGCAGGTTCCCTATGCATATGCTTTCCTAGCACTATCATTTAAGAGTGCATTACTTTCAACATATTCTAAAGAGCTTGATGTCCAGCAGATACTGAAAGAATAAAAGCTTCCTTTTTTATCACAACATGAGCAGCCTCAAGAATGTTGCACTCCTGAAGATGAGCTAAAAACAAATTTAAAGATAAATAAAATAGTGCTCAGTGTTATCTCTGGTTCTTACTTCAAGAAAATAAGCTTGGATTTCCAACTGAAATTACATAGTCTGAAATTGCATGGGAACCTCTTTTTAGTAATGATGTAGACCTAAAATTTGGTCACACGGAGAAAGCCTTTATTAGGTAGATGTTGCAAAAACAATGAATTGTAAGGTGCTTATATTGTGTTTTGAAATCAGTACAACGACTGCAAAGTTTTCATGCAATACTGGAAGGACCGATACTTACATGAGAGATACAGTGAAATGGAAGCGCTGCCTTAATCCCTTGAAGGTGACAAATGACTCTGGAGGGAAACTTCTTGTCGTCATCTCACAATAAGGTCTCTCATATTCACCAGGGGGGCATTCACATTTGAAGCCTCCGATGAGCAGATTAACACATGTCCCCCCGTTCTTGCAGACTCCGGGTGCACAGCGTCCTGAGCGAGCATTCACTTCACAATATTCTCCTGAAAGTAGAAATAGCAGTGCCCACCAGTTATGAGAAAACAATTCTGAACCTCCAAAACAGCTAATGATTCAAAATCAAATTAACACATAATATAATATAATGGATGAACTAAAAATGACTTTATCAGTGGAACTGGGCTAAATGTTTATGTCTAATTCCATAAAAGAAAGTTGGCAATCCTGGCCTTATAGATCAGCTGTTAAAAGCTATGTCACTATTCTTCAGTCAGCCTTTTCTCTGTGCTAGATGTCACTATGTCATGTTCTTCAAAATAATTCATTTTTTAAGAAAGCAATTGACATGGTTGTAGAAAAAATACTTCCTATGGCAATAAAAAGCAAAAAAGCAACAGGTAAATTATATTTAATTAACCTCCTCCACCCCAAACAGTCAACAGTTTATAAAACTATCATTAAAACCCTTTAATTCACAAAAGAGTTTCTACACACGTTTCAAGAACAGCCTCATATATGCTATCTAATCAGAGCTAAAGTTACTGGTATCTAGTCATTGTAGTAAGTCTCTCAAGCTTGTTTTTGCACAATCTTCTGAATCAATGAAAACAGCTAAAACAAAATTCAAGAGCTAAGTAAAGAGTGGTTATATTTAAAGTGAAAGTGCTTGTCTACTGAGAAAAGGCAGGCTTCTGTTTGAAGAAATGTCTTCCAGGCCTTATAAAAGGCAACTGACAACAAACAACAGAAAATGGACAGGACCACACACATCACACACATGCACACACAAATAAGGGTGCAAATAATGACCGGCAAAAAGTGAAAAGCATATAAAAATACATATGATTTGAGAAGTGAATATGTAATTCATCTGAATTTAACAAACACAGCATTATACTGTTTTGTAATTATTATTACAGCTATCATCACCACTATTTGCTTTATATCTCACCATTCCAGTGGTGTACTATCCAATCACGATAATTTAAAGTCAAAATGAATACCAAACTTAAAGCATAACTGTTAAATTACAATAAAAATTGAAATCAAAATAAAATTGCAAAATTACAATCAAAATCAAAATTACTAATACCATGTATCACTGAAACAATGACATGTTAACTACTATAAATAATTATAAAATCATAAGATTAGTCCAATAGTCCTCATTCAGCAACGGCTTGGACAGCAATTGCTTGCAGTGATAACAGCGATGAAAAAATAACTTTGTGACTAATGCCCAAGTTTACAATCTTACAATTCTGGGAGTTGAAGTCCACGAATCATAAAAGAGCCAAGGTTGCCTACCCCTGACCTAGGAAGAAGGCAATGGCAAATCACTTCTGAAATTTTGCCAAGAAAACTGCAGGGATTTGTCCAGGCAGTGCCAGGAGCCACTACTGACTCAAAGCCACAAAAATAAATAAATAAATGAAATGAAAATCTATAAGGTGTAAGTAAACGATAAAAACGACAATAAATGCCGTCACATTTGATGCAGATTTTAGTTACCTAAAAGCCTTAGCCACTCAGTGAAAGGCCATACTTTCTCAAATAAAAATTGTTAATAAACATTTGTGTGAGTTTGCAAAATTTCACCAGTCAAAAATACATCTTGTAATTTAGCAACATAGTACAAATTTACCCAACTATTCTTTCTTAACTTGAACAGTGATCAATCTGCACATTGGTATATGAATCCAAGGAAGGTACTATTTATTTTTTTAATGAATGAAAAGGGGGTTAATAAATTAAACAAGAAGCAGACTTTATTTTGCTGAGAATGTGTTTACACAATAATTATCCTTAAGCTTTACCTCCTGGACTCAGCTGAAGCTCCAATTTACTGAGCTATCTTGAGAGCTTTTGCTTATTCTTTGCAAACAATATAAATAGGATGAAGTGGTTGGTTGAACACTAAATTGACTGGAGACATACACTGAACTGTGAAAAGCCTAAGAGACTCAATAACATGTGGATTCCTTGATGGTGTGGGTTAGACTTGTTAGCTCATGATAACAATTTCATGGTGATCTCTGAATCCACAAGCATGTAAGTTGGCTACAATTCTCCAAAGTCCATATAAAGATCTAAGATCTTGAATTAAATGCTTATACTATGATGAATCCATGAATGAATCATCTCATATGGTATTGTATGTACTAAAGAATACCACAGGGGAATATTAACTGATTTCAGCAATACAATTAAGTCTTGTGGTTTCAGCTTCACAGTTCCTTAAGATCCCACCAAATTCTTGGTTCTACAGTAATACTATAAGAATTTGATTGTTGTTCCAGTACTGAAACTGGGCAGGCAAATTTGGATCTTACTAGGAAGAAAACTAAAATACACAAATAAACTATAAGTAAAGCTAAAATAAATTTATCAAAGGTGTCTTCAATGAACTAACCCTAAACCACGTATACTAGAAGGCCTTATTTTCTCAATAATCAAATAAGATGGTATGGCTTGCAAATGACTCCTTTGGAAAGAATGTGTCACCTTGATGGTATGCCACTGGTGCAGGGGAGACTCGGGAATTGTACATAGATAAGCTAGTGAAAGCGTTTAGGATATTAAAGATTACCCTTTCCAAATACTGAAATATGAGCCAAGTTTGTAGAAGGGACATTTATCTTGCCTCAAACAAGAGGCAGAATTGGAAAATGTGCTCTGTGTGTGTGTGTGTGTCTCTCTCTCTGTCTCTGTCTCTCTCAGCAAAACAGTAGAATAATGAATATGTGAATATCAGCAATAGAACAGTCAGTCAAAGATGACAGAAATTTGATAGTTCACATAAACTCCTTTAATTAAAGCAAATGCTTGACTCAGAATTTTTAGAAATCAGTTAAATTTACATTTCAATTCAGTAACCTCCGCTTAGCTCACCATTTTTATAATAGCCCAAGGTTTAAAGGGGATTGGTAGCCTTAATGGCTGGTTCAGATATCACAATAAACTACTGTTAATAATTTCTTAGTTTCTTTCTTTCCCAGTGCGGTTGTGAGGAATGGATTCTTTTGTTTACTTTTGACTGATCCTGACATGACAGTTAATCTCCAACCTGTAATTAATCTTTATAGTTTATTTGAAAAAAGCTCACTTCAAGCCATGGACTCTGGAGTTATTTTCTTTTGAAACAGATCACAGTTAAGTTCAACCATATTTATGATTAATACAGAAAGTTCCTGGTAAATACTAGTTAATTAAAATGAAAACAAACCTTTCTAAACTCTTGTAGTCAAGCTTCTCTTAATAACCAAATTTTCCCTGTTTTCTTTTCCTCCACATTTCCCTATAAAAGCCATGATTTTCTTTTTTGTCATTTATGCTAGAAAAAAATTTAAAGAAGGGAAAGAGCATTCTTAGGATTAGGAGATTTTAGGATACATATACTCATGAAAGAATCTTTTCCATTCTGCAAAAATGGCAAATACATTCTCAAAATTACTGTCTAATTATAAACAGATTGTTCAGGATTCTTAATCTATGAACAACAAAATCATTATAAGATGTGTTATTTCCTTATTTGTGGATTCTTGTTTCATATGTGTAAGTATATAAGTTCAGGGTTATTAATTCTTCTGATTAAAGTCTAAAGACATGAATAGAGCATAAAATGAATCTGAATTGTGAGGAAGAGGGGCTAACAGTTTACCCAGAAGCTATAATAGAAAATCCAAGCCTCACTAAACTTACTATAACTCAATTATTTGCACACACCCTTCCGTACCTCTCAGAAGTAGAAAATGAGTGTGCTTCTAAACCAGGAATGCAGTATGTTGATACATGTTGTTTAGCCTTTGGCAGCTTACAGTCATGTTCATCTCCTAATAACCGATGCAAATAAATACCTATTGTTTCCAGTTGTGAACAATGTACAAATGAAAGACTGTAGCTTATTCTCAACTCAGAATACAAATAAACTTGGTGTGCTTTCAAGAAAAGAAAACAAATATAATTTTAGAGACTATATAGTATATCTGAAGTGGTTCTCTGTTAATATAGTATAGTCTTCATATAGTTTTCTAAGTTAGAGTAACTCAACACTTCGCATGATTTAGTAGTCAAAACTACTGGACACGGATTGCGCAAACACATCGCCTGTCACTTTCTCTAAATCCAGTCAATATCCCAGAGCCACTGTTATAAATAAAAAATTCAGGCAACCCCTCCATGTAAGTTATCTTGAGCTCCTAAATAAAAAGTAGGACATAAATGCAAGAAATCAAGAAATAAATAATATGTTATTTACTAAGGGATAATTTCCTCTGATCTCTATAGAATGCCTCTGGGTAAATATGCTCGGTCACTGAACAATTATAAAAAATAATTTCCAAGGATAACTAAATATTTATCCTGAAGTGAGCTGGTACAGTAGTTCTACTCCTAGTAATTTATCACCCTATCAAAAGAAACAAAATAAAAAGAGAAGCAAAGATAAATAAAATTAGTGACAGGAGAAAGATCTGGCACTGTTCAAGACAGTAAAAAAACACCAGCGGTTACCCTTCCTCTTGAGCAGTGCCTCATTCAAACCTCCCTTGGTTTCCTCGTCTGAAAGCAGAGAAATTATTCTGTACTCCAATCGAAACATTTCCCTAAAAGTGTACTTCAAAATGCAGGGTTTTTTCCTCTAAAATTATTGGAAAATTACCTTGATCTACAAAGGGAACCTAGTGGGAGACGGTTAATTTTTATTCCTTCTTGCAAAGTTTATTCTGAAAAGTGGGAAGTGGAAACTCCCAATCCTTTCAAGGTCACGGTTAAAAGAAGAATATGCAGGCAAGAATAAGCAGCTATGAGAATCTAGCTTCTGGGTAGCTTTAAACAATAAAAAGAACCCAGAGTTTATACTTCATCTAGAGGTGAAGATGAGCCGAGGTGGCGCAGCAGTTAGAGTGCAGTACTACAGGCCACTTTAGCTGACTGTGTTCAGCAGGTCAGCGGTTCAAATCTCACCGGCTCAAGGTTGACTCAGCCTTCCATCCTTCCGGGGTAGGTCAAATGAGGACCCAGATTGTTGGGGGCAATGTAAATA